GGGACAATGTGTCTCCCTGGAAGAAGGAAGGTAGGGGTTTCCCTTTCCTGCCCACAGTGGTTCAGATGGCACCACTATCTGGGTGTTGGTGAAATGCCTAATCCACAAGCATGAAATCACTACCTAACACAGCAACTGACCAGGGGATCCCTTCACAGTGCAAGAGGTGTAGAAGTGGGCCCAAGACCATGGGATACACACCATCCAGAAGCAGCCAACTTCACAGAATGCTGGAATGGCCTACTGAAAGCAGAGTCAAATCAACCCCTAGGAGACAATTATTTGGCAAAAATGGGCTGCCACCTTACGGGATGCAGTATGTACACTGAATCAGAGACCTACCACGTGGCTCTGTGCTCCCTAAAGGAAGAATACCTGAGTCCAGGAACTAAGAGGGGGAAGCAGTAGCAGTTCCACTTTCTTTCACTCCCAGTGACTCGCTAGGGACTTTTTGCTTCCTGTCCCCACAGCTCTGGGCTTTGCTGGGTTAGCTTCTGGTCCCCAAACAGGATAGCTATACTCTTGTCAGGGAACACAATAAGGATCCCACTGAATTACAAGCTATAACTTCCATCTGGACGTTTGGCTCTTGTGTTCAGGGACAACAGGCATGAAAAGAAGTCAGCCTCTGAATAGGTGTAACTTGGCCTTGATCAGCAGGAGGAAGGGCTGCTTCTATACCGCAGAGACAGAGAGGAATGTTTATAGAACTCAGATGACCCACGTGGACACCAGGAAAGCCACTGAATACTCCCTGGCCCACTGAGGACTGTGAATGGACACAGGCAACCACAGTGGCCTGAGAAGCTCAGGCCCCACAGGAAGGAAAGTTCAGGTCACACCACCAGCCAAGTTACAAAGACCTGCAGTTTCCAGCTGAGTGAGAGTGGTGTTTAAAATAGACAGTCAGGAAGAGAAATCAGGAGTGGCAGCTGTGACCAAGTGAAGCAACAGGGACTATAGCTTGTCCCACTATCCTCCCCGAGGAAGAGAGGCCAAGAACAGTGAGGTGCGCTTCCCAAGCCTAGGCTAAGAAGCAGCTCCATGGGGCCAAGAAGTGGCCTGTGGACACCATGTCAGAATGCCTATGAGGGACCTGCTATAGGAGCAGAGGTGACTGTCAGCCTACTTGCCACACCTGTGGACCTCTGGACCCACTGAGCACTCACGCCAAGGCCCCCCGGGGCTGCTCCACCCGACGACTAGCACAGAAGGGGAAGCCAGCACAGGGCTCTCCTAACAGATTGCCTTTCCTCAGCCATTCTCCTTAGCCTAGCTGAGACTTTGTAAGAACCATTCTTGGGTCTGAAGTTCCTCCTAAACCTCCTCCTTTCTTGTATTCTTCTAACAGGGATTAAATTTGCATCGTGGTCTGCAGACTCCCCTCAGCTCACCCCTGTCTCCTCTCCCTTACCCTTCTTCTGCACACCCAATCCCATCTTGGTTTCCACTCCAGGGAAGGCCAGAAGTGATGCAGTTGCAGTTGGCATCACGGTTAACCCAAGACAAGAGGTGGGAACATGGGGTTTGGGAACTGGCTCATTCACCACCCAGAAAGCAAAGAGCCCTGAGTGGAATGTGGGGCAAGGATGATGCCCTGTACAAGGTGGGAGCCCAAATACTGAAGATTTTCCTGAGGTGACCTGGGAAACAACCTGTTTGTGGGAAACAGCCTGGTCAGTGCAATGATTCAAGCATTTGCCAAATATAGGGGGAACCAGGCTACAATGGTAGGCAAGAAACCATAAAGATAAAAGGAGCAATTCATCAAGAAGATGTAACAATGCTAAATCTGAATTCACCAGTAGTACAGTCCACTATATAGTCTAGTTTTAAAATATAAAAGGGGAAAAATGACAAAATTATAAAATTGGCAAATCTACAATTATAGAGATTCTGACACTTCTTTTTAATAGTGACTATAATAACAGTATTAGATAATTTAAAGCCTATAGTTGATTGTTTATTAGGTGCCAGGTATTATTCTAAGTATTTAACATATTTTAATTCATTTATACTTCACAATAACTCTATGAAATAAGTACTGATATCACCTCTGTCAAAGATGTGGAAACTGAGGCTAAAGAGATTTTAAAATTTGACCCAAAGTTATCAAGTAAGTAGCACAATCGCAATTTAACCCAGATAGTTTGGCGAGACTTTTCTTACAAGTTGATCTATGTGTGTAAAAAGATGTTTATCTAGCAAAACTATGGAAACAAAAGATAGGTGGTTGGGGGTGGGAATGAATAGGCAGAGCACAGAGGACTTTTAGGGCAGTACTAGCACTCTATATGATATTATAATAATGAATACATGTCGTTATACATTTGTCCAAACCCATAGAATATACAATACCAACAGTGAACCCTAGAATAAGCTATGAACTTAAAGTGATAATGATGTGTCAATGTAGGTTCATTCTTGGTTTAAAAAAAAAAAAAAGTATCATTCTGTTAAAAGATGTTGACAGTGGGGGAGGCTTATGTATGTGATGTCCAGGGGCAGAGGGTGTATGGGAAATCTCTGTACCTTCCTCTCAATTTTGTTGAAAATCAAAAACTGCTCTAAAAAATACTTTTACACATTTATCTTATCTTATACAGCATTTCTGGGCATCTTACAACAGGAGAACTTTTGGTTTTCTGTCCTACATATGCTGGAAATAAAACCATTAACAACTGCTTTGCAGTTGAATTTTTAATTGATTAATTTTTAATAACCAACTTTTAATTATTTCAAGTGAGCCACTGCCTTGTTTAGGGTATTTCAAATCACAAGCCTTAAATCTTTTTGTATCACTGTGCTTAGATCATGAGACACAATCCTCATCTTCAGGATGTTTGGTATTAGTGGAGGACACAGTCAATAAATAAAAATACCTTTTGGAGAGACCAGTGATGAACTCGTGGTCCGGAAAAGCTCATCCCAGAGAGATGATATTTAATTTTTTTTTTAAATCTTCCACTTTTTCCTAATCATAAAAATAATAATGTATGATCATTTTTTAAAGCTGAAATAATACAAAAATTATGAAGTAAAAATGTAATTTAACTCCTACCATCCAAAAGCAATCATTATTAAACTTTTATTGAAGAATCAAAAAAGAGTACTGAGAATAGTTAATATCTGGCATGAGCACAGACAGTGATAGTATGTATATGTATGTATGTGTAAAATATATTTTGAAGTGAAGTCACTCAGTTGTGTCCAACTCTTTGCTACCCTGTGGAGTATAGCCCACACAGGCTCCTCTGTCCATGGGATTTTCCAGGCAAGAATACCAGAGTGGGTTGCCATTTATGTATAAGATACATATTTTAGGTATGTGACAAATACATGCCATCCTGTTCTATATGTTTGCATACACATAGTTTTATACAACTTATTTCATAATATATTCTTATATAAATTTTAGAAAACTGAAGACATTTTTTATTCCTGAGTTCTCTCTTTTTCTTAAGCAGTCTTGCCAGAGGTTTATCTATTTTATTCATACTTTCAAAGAACCAACAAAGAAAGCATATAATTTGAAATTTAAAGCACATATTTAAATAATTCATGGGTCAGGAATGAAATCATATTGGACATTAGAAAATACTGGGAGCTAAGTTACGACAAAAATACAAACTTATGGGATGAGACAAAAGAAGTGATCAAAGGGATACTGTAGCTCAAAATGGGCTTCCCTGGTGGCTCAGATGGTAAAGAATCTGCATGCAATGCAGGAGACCCAGGTTCGATCCCTAGGTCAGGAAGATTCCCCGGAGAAGGAAATAGCAACCCACTCTTGTATTCTTGCTTGGAGAATTCCATGGACAGAGGAGCCTAGCAGGCTACAGTCCATGGGGTCGCAAAGAGTCAGTTAATGAATCAAACATTCAACTCAAGAAATCAGAAAAGGGGCAAATGAGTAAACCTAAAGAAATTAGAAAGAAATAAGCAAAAGCTAATGGAAGAAAATTTAAAAACAGAGACAATCAGCACAAAATACCAAAGTTGGTTCTTTCAATGTATGAATAGTATAGATGGGGGTTGGGGGGTGGGGGGCAGTGGGGACAGGGAGAAGGACTGGCAAGAAAAAAAGATTTGGTGAGATTGAAGGTGGGGGGGAAGAAAAAAACAACTACAGATACAGTCAGAACTTTTTTAAAACTGTAAGTGAATATAAGTACTATGAACCTTGGACAAAACGAGCAGTTTCCTAAAAGTTGTAGCTTACTAAATCTGACTCAAGAAGAAATAGCCACTTGAAGAGGCCTGTAACTACTACAGGCATGGAATGAGTAGCTTAAAATACAACTACTATAGAACAGTTGCTCTCAGAACGTATTCACTTTCCCTCTGGAATAAAGAAAGCCGGTGTCCTCTTAGGTTTTAGTGGGGCTGGAGAGGTTCCAAGTATCTCCGCCTTGCTGATAGGAGCTGCTCTGGGGACACAATTATGACTCAGAGAAGCCGAAATTGCTCAGACGACGGGCCAACCCTTTAGGTCAACTTGTGGACTTTGGGTATTAAGAATGTCTTAAACAATGGAATGTTGCCTCTCCTCAACGGGAAGTTGGGGGGGAAATACAATGGGTTTTCAAACAGTTCTAAAACAGCAAACTATCTGATTTAAGAAAGCAGCTTCGAAGAAAGATACAAAATGTGATCCTTTTTACACAATTTGGGGCCACTGACGTGTGAGAGCTTTAAAAAAAAAAACACTTCATTAAATGTTTACAGAGGCTGAGAGCTACAAAAAGGGGGTGGGAGGTACCAAAAGTACTGCGTACACGATTTTGAACTGTTAAGAGCGAGCTAGAGCATCCGCCGCACTCATTTTTCTGGAAAAACACCAGTAGCCTTTCAGATCTCCACGAGCATCCGTTCCGGAGTACCTGGCCGCCTCTAGTCCGGCCTCTTCCTGCAGAGCCGCGGGCCGCCGCCCTAGTCCTGGGGCGCCCAGAGTCCCCGCAGCCCTCCCGGCCCTCGGGCCGCGCCCCGCAGCGACCCACCTCCTCGGCGTCCTGGCCCAGGGGGATGCCCAAGCTTTTGAGTCCCTCCTGCAGCTCGCTGATGTCCACCACGCCGTCCCCGTTGCGGTCCAGTTTCTGAAAGAGGGTCTCGTAGCGCGTCGGCGGCTCCGCGTCCTGGCAGGCCGCCGTGGGCAGCACGAAGCCCCGCAGCCAGCGCAGCATGATACCGGAGGCGCTGGCCCGTCCAGCCGAGGGAGCTCAGGGGGGCCGAGGCCTGGCGGCTGAGCGACTGCCACTTGCAGTCCGACGAGCCGAGCCCCTACGAGCCGCCGCGGCGCACAGGGAGTGGCCGCTCTCGCTGCTGCTCTGGGAGGAGCTCGCCGGCGCCGGCCTCCCCGAGAAGCGCGGGGGACGGGCCAGGCGCAGCCCGGGACGGGCAGGAAGTGCAAAGGCTGCGGGGTGGGGCCCGGGAGGCGCACTGGGACCTGGGCGTGAGCGCTGCTCCATCTGAGTGGAGCTGTCGGAGGCGCGCGGCGAGAGGGGAGCCCCAGAGACTGTGGGATTCTGCGCCAGCGTGTTAAAGAGGGGCGGGGGGGGGGGTGTTCGGGGGAGGGGGGTTGGCAGGCTGTCGCTCAGTTTCCTTCACTTCAAGCCCGCCCTCCCTTTAGGTTTGTAGCCCTGGTGAACTGCCCAGAAATAGTTCTCTCCGCAGGGAAATTGGACCTTCTCCGGCTTTGTTTCGCACACATCTCTTTTTTTTTTTCCTGCAACTCCACAGATCCAGGCTCTGAATCTGTTTCCCATTCACAGAAATGAGAGAGTTGACTGGCTGCACCCCTGGGATGGGAATTAAGCTTTAAAACGCAGAGGAGTTAAATCTGAAGGCAATTGAAAAACTGAAAAGGAACACCTAAAACGAATACAGTGTTGTATAATTGTAGCTCAATAAAAGTGGGCGTGTGGGGGTGGAGGAGACTGTTTCGCAGAAAAAGTCAGCGTACATCCAGGTGGATGGGGCTCCTTCGATCTACAGCTTAGTGTGATCTGCCCGAGGAGTTTTAGAATCTTAGCACATATCAGAAAAACTTCAGGCCGCTCCTCCTCAAGATGGATGTTGCTACAAGGCTTGGGATCACTGCCCCCCAGGAAATTCAGAACTCTTACTGCATAACATGAGATAAGCGAAGGAACAGTGGACTTAGAGAGAAAATACCAGGCAGGGTCCTAATCTTTCAGCTGTGTAAACTCGGAGATGTGGCATAACCTCCCTGGGTAACCTCTCATCAGTAAAACGAGAGTATGTGTATCTGCCTCTTAACAGGGTTGTATACTGTATGTGAAAGATCCTAATACTCTCATGTACCAGTCAGGTGAAATATTAATTGTAGTAATGCTCTGTTCATCCACAGCTTCTTATAAAAACTATCACTGGGTTCCTGTTATCTGAGGAGATACAGATCTGTACTTGTAAATAAGGATCTGCCCACATCTTTTGAATTATTAAACAAAGACTAGTTCCAGCTAGTTAATTAGTCCAGACTAATTACTAAACAAAACCCAGAAACTCAGGCCTTGAATTTACTTCCCCTCATACTATTTTGTATATTTAAGACATATGCAAATCTAGAGTTTGTAAACTGAGGGCTGCCTGTTTAGTTACAATCATCTTGAAACCCATTTATTTGCCTTTTTTTTTTCTCCCCCCAAGTTCCAGTTTTGTTAAGAATTATCCTCTCCCTTTGGAAAAGTCCTCAAACATCATCAAATGTTCTATCCATCCTTGTAAAATCTCTTTTAATCCCTACTATGAACACTGTGTACTTGAAGAGAAGCTCCTTGAAATGGTCATCTCAGACTCTAATTTTTTTTTTTCTTTTCCTTCTTCTTTTTCTTTATTTTTTTTGTAGTAAATAGAGGAATTACTTGTCAACATTTTGACTGACAGAGAAAAACAAATACCATACATTAATGCATATATATGGAATCTCAAAAGATAGAAGCAATCATCCTACATGCAGGACAGCAAAGGAGACACAGACATAAAGAACAGACTTTTGGACACAGTGGGAGAAGGAGAGGGAGGGATGATTTGAGAGAACAGCATTGAAACATATGCATTGCTATGTGTAAAATAGATAGCCAGCGGGCATTTGATGTGTGATGCAGGGAACACAAAGTCAGTGTCATCACAATGTACTGGAGTAATTATCCTCCAATTAAAATAAATAATTTAAAATATTTAACTGACAAACTTATGTTTGCATAAAACTGGTACAAGAATGTTCATAGCTGTTTTCTTCATAATTACCAAAACCCATAAATAAGCAAAATGTTCTTAAGTGGGTGAATGTTAGATAAGCAACCTATGTTGCATTCATACAATGGAATACTACTCAGCAATAAAAAGGAACTGATGCATGCAGCCATACATTACATGACATCCTAGAAAAGGGAAAACTATAGTGAAAGAAAACAGATCAGTGGTTGTCAGGTGTTGAGGAGCGGGGGGGAGTGATGGAACTGCTCTATGTTTTGATTACAGTGGTGTTTACACAAATGTATGAGCTTGTTAAAATGCACAGCACTATGTACTAAAATGGTTTAATTTTACTCTGTGGAAACATACTACAATAAATCTGACTTTTTAAAATAAGTAAAATGGATTAATAATTTTTAGCTCAAAAGATCAGTGTGGAAGATCAAAATAGCTCAGGAAGTACATAAACTTCAAGACTTGTAACACGAAAGTGTGGCTGCAAACCAATGGCATCAGTATCACTTGAAAGCTGATTAGGTATGCAGAATCTCAGCATGTCCATTTCCACCACCACCCCAGTTCAGTTAAGTTGCTCAGTCCTGTCCAACTCTTTGTGACCCCATGGACTAGAGCACACCAGGCCTCCCTGTCCATCACCAACTCCCGGAGTTACTCAAACCCATGTCCATTGAGTCAGTGATGCCATCCAACCATCTCATCCTCTGTTGTCCCCTTCTCCCCCTGCCTTCAGTATTTCCCAGCATCAGGGTCTTTTCAAATGAGTCTGGTCTTCACATCAGATGGACAAAGTATTGGAGTTAAGGCTTCAACATCAGTCCTTCCAATGAATATTCAGGACTGATTTCCTTTAGGATTCACAGGTTGGATCTCCTTGCAGTCCAAGTGACTCTCAAGAGTCTTCTCCAACACCACAGTTCAAAACCATCAATTCTTCAGGACTCAGCTTTCTTTATAGTCCAACTCTCACATTCATACATGACTACTGGAAGAACCATAGCCTTGACTAGATGGACCTTGGTTGGCAAAGTAATGTCTCTGCTTTTTAATATGCTGTCTACGTTGGTTATAACTTTTCTTCCAAGGAGTAAGCATCTTTTAATTTCATAGCTGCAGTCACCATCTACAGTGATTTTGGAGCCCCAGAAAATAAACTCAGTCACTATTTCCATTGTTTCCCCATCTATTTGCCATGAAATGATGGGACCAGATACCATGATCTTAGTTTTCTGAATGTTGAGCTTCCAGCCAAATTTTTCACTCTCCTCTTTCACTTCCATCAAGAGGCTCTTTAGTTCTTCTTCACTTTCTGCCATTACTATGGAGTCATCTGCATATCTGAGATTACTGATATTTTTCCCAGCAATCTTGACTCCAGCCTGTGCTTCATCCAGTCCAGGATTTCTCATGATGTACTCTCCATATAAGTTAAATGAGCAGGGTGACAATACACAGCCTTGATATACTCCTTTCCTGATTTGGAACCAGTCTGTTGTTCCATGTCCAGTTCTAACTGTTGCTTCTTGACCACATACAGATTTCTCAAGAGGCAGGTCAGGTGTTCTGGTATTCCCATCTCTTTAAAAATTTTCCACCGTTTGTTGTGATCCACATAGTCAAAGGCTTTGGCATAGTCAATAAAGCAGAAGTAGATGTTTTTCTGGAACTCTCTTGCATTTTTGATGATCAAACGGATGTTGGCAATTTGATCTCTGGTTCCTCTGCCTTTTCTAAATCCAGCTTGAACATCTGGATGTTCATAGTTCATGTACTGTTGAAGCCTGGCTTGAAAACTCCCTCTGTAGTTTATCATTAATATCCCGTCATCAATATTAATGTAATTAACAACATCATCATCATAACAGTTATGTACGGGGCTGAACATCAAATTATCTAGTAAAAATATTTCACACAAACCCTATGGCAAGTGAAACAGTGTCATTAGCTATTCCTTTAAATAGCTAATACGTGTGTACATTCCCCTTTACCTTCAATTTTTCTAGGTGAGCAAAAAGAGATGGAAACCATCAGAGCTTAAAGTTCGGGATTAACTCAGTAGGTGTTCAGTGAGCACAATACCACCTCCTAGGAAGCAACTTGAAAATTTATGAAAGAATTTTAAAATTATTCTTAATAAAAAATTAATTTTGGAGTAGTTTGAGATTTACAGGAAATTTGTGATGATAATACAAAGAATACTGAGGTATCCCATGCACAGTTTCCTCCTGTTATTAACATTTGTAATTAGTAAGGTACATTTGTCACAAAGAAGCAATATTGCTAAGTTATTAACTGAAACCCATAGTTTTTTCTTTGTTTTTAACCTACCACCCCTTTTATTGTCCAGGATCCCACCCAAGATACCACATCGCATCCAGTCATGATGGCTCCTTAATTTCCTATTGGCTTGGCTATGAGGGTTCTCAGATTTTCTTTGTTTTAGATGATCTTGAAAAACTTTGATGACAGTTTTGTGGAGTACTAATCAAAGAATTTTGTAAACTCTCACTCAATTTAGATTCCTCTGATGTCTTTCTTATAATTATGGGGTTTGGGGAGGAAGACACAGAGGTAAATTGCCATTCTCATCACACGGCACTGGTAGTACATATGATCCGTATTGACCTTCCCTGGTGGCTCAGATGGTAAAGCATCTGCCTACAATGCAGGAGACCCGGGTTCAATCCCTTGGTTGGGAAGATCTCCTGGAGAAGGAAATGGCAACCCGCTCCAGTATTCTTGCCTGGAGAATCCCATGGATGGAGGAACCTGGTAGGCTACAGTCTGTGGGGTCGCAAAGAGTCAGACACAACTGAACGACTTCACTTCACATTATCAGTATAACTTAGCTGATAATGACTTTGACTAGCTGGCTGAAGCAATGTTTGTCAGATTTCTCCAATTAATCTAAGTAACTTTTCCGCCTTCCATATTACACTCTTTGAAA